TTTTTATTCAATCTCATTTCTAACATTTGTGGTGCAAAGTTTTAGATCCTAGATACCTTACACATACCTTGTTTACTCTGTTAGCTGACTCGTGAGGGGTTTATTTATCTAATTAGGAGTTTTCAAGAATTTTTAGAAACGCCTATTCACCCCCTCTCTAGACGACATCCTCGGTTCTTTCAATTGGTATAAGAGCCGGAACTCACTAAAAGCTTCACCGCCGTGAGAAAATGATGTCGACGCCTAACGAGTCGGAGCCGGTGCTTCTCCAAAATGATGGTTCAAACTTTCGAGCTTGGTCAATTCATGTACTCAATGTTTTAGGGCTATTAGTCATTTTGTTGAGCATATTATGGATGCAAGCATACCTCTTTCGGTAGTTGATTGGAGCAACTACAAAAATATTCCAAAAAAGGAAGAGATATGTGTGCAACTCAATGCTCAAGCAATTAATGTCATGTTGAGTACATTGAGTGCAAAGGTTCTAGATGAGGTTATTTTCAATGAACAACCACCTCCGGAGAGTGTTCATCTCATTTGGACTAGACTTGTTGAGTTATATGGAAAATCCAAATGCGATGATGCATATGAGCTCGAGTCTATGGAAAACATGTCCAATGAATCCTCATGCAGTGAAGAAGCCTCAAGGAATCAGCAAAGCATCGAGCTGGAGCAAGAAGTGCAAGCCGCAGATATCGTGTTGTCTGGGCGCAAATACCGGACATGATGGCCACGTGCGCGCAACAGTGGCGGCCTCGAACTAGGCCGGCAGCGGCGCAGAGGGTACAATGGACAGGCGCGGACGCGACGACGATGCGACGGCAGCGGCAGCGTCGCGGTGTGAGGCGGGTCGGCAGCGCGGCGAGGCAGTAGTGCGCGGACACGATGGTGAGGTGATAGCGCCGGCAGTGGCTTCGTCGTGGCGCGGAGCGACAGCAGCTCTGCGCGGTGGGCCAGCGGCAGCCGGGCCACAGCCAGGCCAGAGGCAGCCACGCCCGGCTACGCGCGCACACGCGACCAACGCGGCGATGCCGAGCGCCCGAGCGTGGTGACCGCGCCCACGCGGCCAACCAGCCCGAGACCGAGTCGTGCACGAATTTTAAAGCGCCCAAAACAACTAAACGGTTGCTTCATGAGCCAAACCATCTTCACCATGCTTAAGATGGCATATGAGACTACCAAATCGAGCCATAACACTACACCACCCCTTAACCCAATCTCTCAAAATAATTTGTTAAACATAGCAATGTCTAGCTGACAGACTTGGAAATTTTCTAAGTTTTTGAGCTGAGCTTGATTTCAATTTGCAATTTCTAGGCTAGTAGAAATATTAGCTAGTAATATCATTTTTCGACAGCAAGTATTTCACTGTCATCTACAAAGTTTGTACTTCAAGCTTTATTTAAGTATCACATACATGTTCTATAGCATTTTCGTTTAATAAAAATTAGTTTTAAACCCTACTCGATATACATGAACTACCGAATCAACTTTCGTTTAACATTTTTATTAGTCATTTTAAGTTACAAAAAATTTATATACACATTCTATCACATGCATTAACATATAAATATGATGCTCATGACATGTTTTAGTAAATGATTTTGGGGTGTTACACCCCGCCTCTTCCACAGCAACACCGCGCGGCCTGTGCCTCCACCCCACACCGCCGGTGGCGGCCTACGCCTCCTCCACGCGTCGGTGGCCGCGGCTTGGCCTTGCCCGCCCTCATGGAAGCCAACGCTGGCGGTCTGCACTTGCAACTTGAAACACTCAATGCAACATACATTTGAAAAATATGAAACATACGCTTGCAACATATGTGTGAAACATATGCAACATCCAGATAAAACAATTGCAACATAAAACTAAAACAACTGAAATATTTGGAACATACTATTGCAACATATGAGTGAAAACAATATCCAGATAAAAAACGATTGCAACATACGTCTTTAGCAGGGCTCCCCTGCCTCCGACTCCATGCTACATTAACCAGAGAAGCTGGAGTTGGATGAGCGACAAATCGTGGCTCCTCCTAGGCCCTTGTTGTTTTGGAGAAGAGAGAGAAAAGAACTCCTTACTACAATGGTCACTATAGTGCACTCGGAGGAGGAGCCAAAGCACTTTAGAACTGTGCCAAACAACCCCTTAGCTAATAACTATCGCACTGACTGCTCCAACCCAGCTAATGGATTGCTAATAGCACATAAAAGAGGAAGAGTATTATACTGAAAAAGACCGGTGCATCCACAATCTTGATCTGAATAACACCAAGTTAATAATTAGCTAGCCAATTAATGTATAACTAATGTTAGTCATAAACCATTAACCAGCTAACTATTAACAGTAGCGAACCAAACAGGGCAAGTTGTTGAGCAGCAGCAGCCGTTATTAATAGAGCTGGTACATAGTGCATGCTAGCTAGTAACCAATGAATACGCTTCCTATACGTATGTGCTAAGCACTTGGCTTCGTTCCAGTGAGTGTCGAACTCCAGCCAGCTGTGGTTAGGTGTAACGATTGGAAGATAGATAGGTGATGGTGCATGCACTTGCACGATGATATATGATATATATACATTGTGATGAGTCTGTGACGTGCAAGCCAAGATATTTCCCTAACGAGCGTGCATAACTATAACGATGTGCCGGCAGAATTATATGTGCAGCAAGTACAGTGGCAGTTTGCTAAAACAAATAAGTTCTTAGAATATATGGTTAGGACTAAGAGTACTGCATCATTGAGGACAGCGTGTTCCTAAAAAGATGTGGCTGGATGGATGTGAGTATGTGACTAGGAGAGCCAGCTGGTAGATGTAGAAGCTTGGCATATATGGCCAAAATAAAGCCTCCTAACAGGAAAGGAGGCGCATGCACAATCATAGTTTTAGCCGAAAACGTATATTGAAAGATAAAAGCAGTGTTTACTAATAGAATAAGTGATTATGATATATAGTTAGGACTAGGAGTACTGCATCATTGAGAAGTACAGGGTGTTCTGAAAAGGAGTAGCTGGATAGATGTGAGTACATACGCGACTAGGATCGGGGAGCCAGCTGATATAAGTACAAGCTTGGCATATGGCCAAAATAAAGCCTCCTAAACAGGAAAGGAGAAGCATGGACAACCATAGTTGTTTTAGCTGCAGACATATATTGAAAGGAAAAAATAATCAATTTATATATTGAAAGTGCAATTTAATAAATACATATTATAAGGAAAAAGATGAATCTGTCTAGCTAGCAACCGGTTGTTTTAGCCCCTTCCAACGACCAGATTTTTTTCATGCACTTACACTGTCTTATAGTTATATTTACACCGCCTTATTACTGTATTTACAATGATTTCTTCAGTGTAATTTATTGGATAGAGTGATGTAATTTGAAAATAACAGAAATATATGCCAAATTTTTTTCAAAAAAGAATTTAAATTATTTCTATGGATTCCAGACATTAGGAAAATATATGTCAAATTCTTCATAAATTCTTCACAAATTTCAAAAGAAAAAAAAATCTTCACAAAATCTTCGCCGTGGGCCTTTTGGGCCACGTGATCTCTAGTGAAGCAATGCCCTCCACGCGGGCGCTGAAGTCCCAGAAGCGCGTCCAATGCCCCGGCCGGCGCCGACTGCAGCACGGACTGCATCCGTCGTTGGAGCCTTGGCGGATCCGTGCAGCATCAGCATGTCAGCTGTCCGTCCAGCATCCAACGGCCAAGAATCCGCATGTTTTGAAGCTCCAAAACATGCGGTTGCCATTTAGCAAATCTGAAAAAGATAGTTTGGGAGAGGAACCTAAATATCTAAATGGCCGTTGCTCTGATAGGTTGGGTACCATGGTTCGAAGCCAATAATTCTTACCGTGTACTCTGGTTTTATAAAAGGAAATGTATTACAACGTAAAACTGTAGGACACGCTATGCAATTCCTCTGCAAACTACCTAGATTTTTTTTCTAAAAAAGGATAATAATAATCAGTCTGGCATTCAAAGAAATAGATTACAGAGCTGCCTGGACTGCTGAACAGTCACATAATAAACTTTATTTTTAGTATACAAGCAATGCATTATTCACTGCCTAAGATGCAGATACACCAACTCACCATACCATAAAAAGTTCCACACTCACATTACACACAGCTAGACAACCAGACGCCAGGGCATTACATTTTGTCCATTTACAGGGCTCCAAGCAACCATATCACTTCGCCAATTACCATTTACACATTCACAACTTGAAATACACACATGACACAACAGGTCAACAACTGATAGTAATATACACCAGCTCCTAAGACGGATGGAGTATGCGTTCAGAAGACCTCAAGTTTCATGATTTGCTATGACCGGCATCCAGTTCCATGTTCTGAAGCCTAAGCTTCCTCTCATCAGAAAGGAGCTTTGCAAACCGTGTGAGCATAGCAGCATAGGTCAGATTACGGCAATCTTTCGGCATTGTCTCGACGTAGTTGATCTTATAATCATCCTTGCTTAGTGGCTTATGCAGAAGGTTTTCTCCGATCTTAACCAGACCTTAAAGCCTCTTCTCCGTTGAGAGGTCGGCTGGCACAGCCCCTATTGGTATGTTGCGGTCCTGCAAGAAATAAATGAACATAGACATCAGTATACAATAATATTTGATCGTAGAACCGGAGCAACAACTTGGATGGCACTGTGAAATTGCTCTGTAACATACTGATGTCTAACCGCAAAACAACCTGAGCCAAATTCAGGTATGCTGCCCATATTTTTGGTCGCCCGCATCCTACCCAGAGTTGCCTTCGTACTACTATGGTCATTGCCAAATTTTCATCGGCCTGAGTGCCTGACAAACTAATACGGAGCAGTAGTGAAATCGTAGTTGGGCTGGACTTTGTAGTTTGGTGATTGGGCCGGCCCAGTAACAAAACCGAAACGTCTTCCGTCTACCACCATTGGCCGGAGGAGAGTCGCAGACCACAGCGTTGGCCGCCGCACCCACACGGCGCCGGCGAATAGCGATGCTCCGCCTCGGAGGCCACCTCCTTCCTGCTGTCCGCGCCGCCTCGCCTCTCCCCGCCGCATCTTCCCTCCCCCTCCACCGCTTCTTTCTCTTCAGCACCACTCCCGCCTCTCAGTTCGTCGTCGAGGACTACCTCACCACCAGCTGCGGCTTGACGCCAGAGAAGGCCCGCAGGGCCTCTAGGTACCTGCCCAGTCTCAAGTCGCCCGACAATCCTGACGCCGTCCGGGCCTTCCTCGCCGGAATCGGCGTCTCCAAAGCCGAGGTCGCCGCCGCAATCTCCAGGGACCCGAGGGTCCTCTGCTCCAAGGTGGACATAACCCTAACCCCCTGCATCGCCCAGCTCCGCGACGTCGGCCTTTCCCCAACGCAGATCTCCCGCCTCATTTCCATCGCCCCCACCATCGTAGTCTTCCCCAGATTGATCCCCCGGCTCGCATTCTACCTCTCTTTGTTGGGCTCCTACGACAATTTACACACCACCCTCAGCAGGAGCATGTACCTGCTCACTCAAAATCTCGAGCGTGTTGTCAAACCCAATATGGTATTCCTGCGACAGTCTGGCCTAACTGATTCTGATATTGCCAAGCTCCTTTTGCTCGCCCCGCGCATATTGACATTGGAGACAGGCCGTATCAAGGAAATTGTGGCGTGTGCCGACATGCTTGGTGTGCCACGCAGTTCAGCAATGTTCAAGTATGCCATTGTGGCCGTCTACAACATAAGTCCTGGGAAGATAAATGCTAGGTCAGATTTCTTGAAGAAGGCTCTTGGATGCTCTGAGGCTGAGCTGGGCATTGCCATACGCAGGTTGCCAGAAGTTCTGAATTTCTCAGATGGCAGGGTGAGTCGCGTGGTGGATTTCCTGAAGACGGAGGTTGGTCTGGATGCCAAGTACATAGTGCATAGGCCAGCAGTCCTCTGCTATAGCTTGCCAAGGCGTCTTATGCCCCGGCATTATGTGCTAAAAACTCTTAAGGCAAAGAGCTTGGTGGAGAAAGATGTTGACTTCTTTGCAGCTGTTACTCCAAAGGAGAAAGTATTCACCAAGAGGTTTCTTGATCCTTACAAGGATAGTTTTCCCGGGCTTGCAGATGCTTATGCTGCTGCTTGTGCAGGCCAGGTTCCTGTAATCCAACCATGACTGCCTGAAATGGAGACATCTTTTGACATGTTCAATCATTCTCATTTAAGTTTGGTTTTCTTGTGGATTGATTCATCATGCTATGATTAAGATTGTACCTTGGTAGCATCACATGCATTTGGAAGGCCCAAAGTTTGGTTATTTGCTGCTCTTCTTTCGCCTCTTTATATCGCTTACACATTTCTGCATGCTGCTTGTTTTTATAATTAGTGTTTCTTCCAATCTTGTTATAGGCATGCCTGGTCTCAATACTTTGTTCAAACAGAACCTTTTCACCGTAGTTCCAAATTGTAGCTGTCCTCTTTTCATAGTTGTTTCTAACGAACTTACCCATTCGTCTCAGTAACAACAGAAGATATCTTATCATCTTGCACACTAAAATTATTTGAAATGCCTCGGGTGCATGCTATGAAATCCTTTTTCATGTTGCTGGTTGTCTAACTTTTTTTTAATGTGCAGTTGTATGACTATGAAATACTTAAATCCTCACTTATTGACATGTTTAGTTTCAGTTCTGCAATGGCATAATTACTTGGCACTATCTGTATATGGCTTTGAGAAGCTTATTGGTAGTTCGATCACTAAGCACCTACTCCCCTGTCCCAAAAAGAATGTAAATTTTATTTTTCGAGGAGTCAAAGAATCTCAGGTTTGACTAGTTCTTTTATGAAAAAAATACCATCATACTCTGGTAGGACGCGGTCTACAACATACCTGAATACGCAACAGTTGGTCTGAGCACCCAATTGCTTTGAAAAGGTCTGCAACATAATTATCAGTCATGTCTGAGCTAGCATGTAAGAACATTTGCAAAAAAAGGCATGGTATTCTCCCGGCCAAACCATCCAAAAATGCCCCACTTGGCAACACGACACGCATCAAACTTGATGTCTTCCTCTGGAAGACCTGTGCCTAATGATACTACCAGATATCTATGATAGTTCAAGGGCTTGGTCTCAGGGAATTCCTTGCTCTTCTGCCTGATCTGTTATGTTATCTCACCCATTGCCACCAGAGTGTCAAATTAGAGGACAAGGTGGTCAGTTAGCATTTACATTGTTTTATGACCATTTTTGGCAAACAAAGTTTGATGCTTAAAGGCTAAAAAAAAATCATAACAAAATATACACATAATTTCATGCTAATCAAAACGTACAATTAAATTAAAGAAATAGAGTACACAGGATTTCGGCAGGAAAACCCAACCACAAACTATAACCAAAGAAGTATAGATCACCGGATTGTTTGCGGCGAGCCCCCCAACAATAACGTTGAAGCTACGTGATGAACCAGTGTGATAATCCACAGTTTCAAAACAGTCGGCAGGGAGAACTGTTGGTGCTGCAGATGTGCCAATACACACATCAGCGAGACGAGCATTCATCAAGGTATTAGATCTCGCCTGCACCGCAACCAAAAAGTTTAGTTCACCCTAAAGAAATCAATGGAAGCTATCCCATGCACCAAGTTTAGAAATAGAACCTTGAATGTGCTGAATATTGTTGGCTTAACACACTTATAACATCAAAAGTAGGAATAACAACATTTGTCAATGTTTCTTTCACTCTCGTATCGCCCAGCAAATCATTGGTCATTTTGTGCAGGTACTTTCCATCATATTTTGGCCCAATTATCATCTTAATTATTTGTAGGATCTTGAGGAACCAGCCAAAAAATTCCAGTTCTGGTTGCAACACCAGAACGAGTAAGGTGAAGTATTTTCATATATAAATTTATAGATATAGTACTGAGATTCACTTGTACATAAACAATTTATTAAAAAAATGAGCAGTATAAGATGGAAAATCGTACAAATATTTATTATAAGTGCCATGATTAACAGTAGCTTCTTAACCATACAAACCTGCATGGAAAGATGCGAGGACCATGTTTGAGGTAGAATGGCAGAATATCCTTGCCTTGTTAGGATCGTGGTGTACCTTTCTGTGTAACCGTAGATCCGGGTAAGCCTCCTCGTCCTTTCCCTGTTGCGGCGTAGCAGCAGAGTAGACGTCGGTGCCGCAGTGTAGTAGGCGTCCAGCGCAGTGGAGATGAAGTCCAGTGGCGCTGCAGAGGCGACGGTGAGGTTGGTGGGGCATCCCGTCGCTGGCAGCACTCCGTTAGATCGGATTAGGTTTCTGTGAGTGGGATTGCGGCGGCTCCGGACAACTTCGTTCGTTGAGCCCAGTTCCCCACTTCTCTATTTATGTGTGCTGTGCGACAGGGGCCCACCAACCATATTAGGGTTGGGCGCCCCCGATCAGGGCGCAGAGGCAAGAGCCCAATAGGCCGTTGGGCCTATTAGTGGAGATCAACTAACATTCCCCCCTTGATCTCATTCCATCTTTCAATTTCATATCATTTACTTTTGTTCATTCCATTACAGATTAATGCATAGAGCATGTCTCATCGTCACGGTCCATTGCCGATAGATTTAACAGCTACAACACACTACTCTGTTCTAAAATAGATACTTATCTTTGGGCCTTCTTTTGTCCAGGAATTTTAGGCTTTTCCTTAAACCCATGCTAGCTACATGTTCTCTGAACACCATATTCTCTGAACACGTTGGGTGGTAAGCCTTTTGTAAGCGGATCTACGAGCATCTTTTCTGTACTTATATGCTCAAGACTTATGACTTGATTCCGGACTTTATCTTTCACAACATAATACTCTATGTCAATGTGTTTGGCAGCACCACTTGACTTATGTTGTGAGCATACTGTACTGCCGGATTATTATCGCAGTATAATTTAAGTGGTCTATAGATGTCGTCAACCACCTTCAAACCGGGTATGAACTTCTTTAGCCAGTTCACCTGCCCCGTTGCCTCATAACACGCTACAAACTCGGCATACATTGTGGACGATGTAGTGACGGTTTGCTTTGAGCTTTTCCATAAAATAGCTCCCCTTTACGAGAGTGAATACATATCCCGACGTGAATTTTCTATCATCTCCCGCATAATCAGAATCTGAATATCCCACTATATGAAGTGAATCAGATCTTCTATACGTCATCATGAGGCCTTTCGTTCCTTGCAAATAATGCAAGACTTTCTTTACCAATTTCCAGTGTTCTGTTCCAGGATTGCTCTGAAATCTGCCAAGTAACCCGGTAACAAATGCCAAGTCAGGGCGCGTACATACTTGAGCATATTGCAAGCTTCCGACAGCTGAAGCATATAGAACCACTTTCATTTGATCGATCTCATATTGGTTCCTGGGGCATTTAAAATCCCCATATCTGTCGCCCTTGACTATAGGAGCAGGTGAGGGACTATATTTGTGCATACATAATTTCTTTAAGATCTTTTCTATGTATGCCTTTTGTGACAGTCCTAATACCCTTTTACTTCTATCTCGGTGAATCTCGATCCCTAGAACGAACGAAGGTTCACCAAGATCTTTCATATCAAATTTTGAGGACAAAACTTCTTTGTCTCCAGTAGTAGACTGACATCACTACTAGCAAGTAAGATATCATCCACATATAGGATAAGGAAGATAAACTTTCCATTCTTAAACTTTGTATAGACACAATTGTCCTCTACATTTTCTTTAAACCCAAATTCTTTATTGTCTAATCAAACTTCAAGTACCACTGTCTTGAAGCTTGTTTTAATCTATAAATGAATTTCTTTAGGCGGCATCTCATTCGTTCTTTTCCTTCCATGATAAAACCTTTCGGTTGTGCCATGTAAACATTTTCCTCTAAGTCCTCGTTGAGAAATGTCGTCTTTACATCCATCTGATATAACTCTAAATCGTAATGTGTCACTAATGCCATTATGATTCTGAAGGAATCTTTACATGAGACTGGAGAAAAGGTCTCATTGTAATCAATCCCTTCTCTTTACGTAAAGCCTTTTGCTACAAGTCGCGCTTTATATATCTCTATATTCCCTTGAGAGTCAAGTTTAGTTTTGTAGACCTATTTACAGCCTACTGTTTTGGCTTCTTTAGGAATTATTTCCAAGTCCCAAACTTTATTGGCATTCATAAATTTTATTTCATCTTCCATGGCCTCAAGCCACTTTGATGAATGATCACTTCTCATGGCTTCTTCAAATGAGGTGGGACCATCCTCCATTTGAAATTTCTCAGTGTTGTATACTTCATAGTCAGCAGGAATAGCTAATTTTCTAACTCTTTGAGACCTTCTAAGGGCCTCCACATTTGGCACATCTTCTGTTTGAGGCTGTTGTTGCTCCTCTTCATTTGTGGCAATAGGTTCTATAGGATCCTGAAGAACAGGTTCCTCATCATTATTCATTGTTGCCACAGGCGGGATAACAACAGGTGCTGGCACCACAGTGTCTTGCACTGTCGGTGCAGCGACAACATGTAGTGAGAAAAATGGCTCATGAATCATCGGAGTGGGTGCATACACCCGCTTCTCTTCAAGGTCAATTTCTCGAGCTACCATGCTCCCCCTCATCATTTCATCCTCTAGGAAGACAGCGTGTCTCGTTTCCACAAACTTTGTATGTTTGTCTAGATAGTAGAAACAAAAACCTTTTGACTTTTCTGGGTAGCCAAACAAATGATAACTTACTATTTTGGGATCTAACTTCTCAATGTTTGGGTTAAATACTTTAACATCAGCAGTGCTCCCCCACACACACAAGTGTTTAGTGAGGGTACTTTTCCTGTCCACAACTCATACGGTGTTTTGGGCACCGACTTACTTGGTTCTCTTTTGAGAATATGAATGGCGGTTTTTAACGTCTCCATCCATAGGCTCAACTATAAGATTGAGTAACTTATCATACTGCGCACCATATCCATTCATTGTACGATTGCGTCTTTCAGCTACTCCATTCTGCTGAGGTTCGCCCGGTATAGAATACTGGGCTACTTTGTCATTCTCTTGTAAGAACCTTGCATAAGGTCCAGGAACTTGGCCATCTGGGGTATGCCAGCCATAGTACTCTCCCACGGTCAGACCTGACTATCTTTATCTTTAAATTGCGTTGGATTTCAACTTTTGCCTTAAAT